CCGCCAGAATTGGTCTCTAGCAGTGTATGCATCCCTACACCTGCTCCAACGCCTACACCCTCCCTGTCTGCTACAGTGTATCATCCGCTACAGCCCGCTGCCCCCCCACGCCCTCCGAGCCCCTCTCTGTCTCTACCAGTGGTACTGCATCCCTACACCCCTCCCGCTATCACCCTCGCTCTGTATCTAGCAGTGTATCATCCGCTACACCCTCCCCCTACACACCTGACTGTTTTCTACAGTGTATCATGCCCTACACCCCTCCCCTACACCCTCGACCTGTCTCTGAAGCAGTGTATCATCCCTACACCCTCCCCCTACCACCGTCCCTGCCTCCGTGCTAAGGTATCATGCGCTTACACCCTGGGCACTGTCGTGCTAGACAGTGTGCTCCTATTCTGACACCGCTCCCCTACACCATCCGCTGTCTCTAGTGTATCATCCCTACACGCCCTCCCCCTACACCCTTCCTGTCTTGACAGTGTATCATCGCCTACACCCCTCCCCCAACACCCTCTCTGTCTATACACGTGGTATCATCCCTACACTTCTCCACCGCTAACAGCGCCTGCGCTGTCTCTACAGTGTATGATGCCCTACAGCCCCTCGCCCCTACGCACCACTCCTGTCTCTACAGTGTACTCCTCCTACACCCCTTCCCCGCTACAACCCTCGATCTGTATCTACAGTGTATGCATCCTAACCCCTCCCCCCTCCACCCTCACTGTTTCCTACCAGTGTATCATCCGGCGCTACAGCCCTCCCGTGTCTCTACAGTGTATCAATGCCGGCTACACTCCTGCGCGCTGTCCTGGACTTACAGTGTATCATCCTTACACGCCCTCCGCCCCTACACCCTGCGTCGTGTATCTACAGTGTATCATCGCCTACCACCCACTCCGCCCCTACACCGCTCACTGTTTTAAGCAGTGTATCATGTTCCTACAACGCCTCCCCTACACGCCTCCCGTCGTCTCTACCAGTGTATCATCCCTACACCCCTCCTGTCTCCTACAGTGTATCATTCCTACAACCCCTGGCCCCGCTAGACGCCATGCCATGTTGTACAGTGTATCATCGCCTACCGCCTCCCCCGGCTACACCCTTCCTGTTTCTACAGTGTATCATTCCTAGACACCCCTCCCCGCTACAGCCTTCCCTGTCTCTACAGTGTATCATCCCTACACACCTCCCGCCTACACCCTCTCTGTCTGCTACAGTGTAGTAATCCCTACACACCGTCCCCCTACACCCCTGCCCTGTCTCTACAGTGTTATCATCCCTATCACCCCTCCACACCCCTCGCCAGCCTAACACCCTCCCTGTTCTGCTACATTGTATCATTCCTACACCCCTCCCTACACCCTCCCTGTCTCTACAGTGTATCATCCTCTACACCCTCCCCCTACACCCCTCTTCTGGGTCTAGATCTAAGCCAGTGTATCCTCCTTACACCGCCTCGGCCCCGCTAGCACCCTCCTGTCTCTACACGTGTATCATCCTACACTCCGATCCCTGGTCCTGCTACAGTGGTATCATCCCTACACCTCCGCCCCTACCACCTCTCTGTCTCTACAGTACATCATCCCTACACCCCTCCCCTACACGCATTCCTGTCTCTACAGTGTTATCATTCCCTACACCCCTCCTTTTCTCTTACAGTGTATTTATCCCTACACCGCCTCCCCCTACACCCCTCCCTGTCTCTACAGTGTTCATTCCCTACCCCCTCCCCTGACACCTCCCTGTCTCTACAGTGTAATAATCCCTACACAGCCCTGCCCCCTACCCACGCCTGCCCTGTCTCTTACAGTGTATCATTCCCTACCCCCTCCGTCCTACACGCCGCTCTCTGTCTCGTACAGTGTATCATGCCTAGCCCCTCTCCCACTAACACCGCTTCCTGTCGCTAGCAGTGTATCAATCCGCTACACCCCTCTCTATAATACACTCTGGTATGTACTCACTTGTCTTGAACTGCGTGGAGAACTGAATCTGGCACCAACGAAACCCAGCCAGCTTGATGGTAGCGAATGGATTTTGCGAGGTGCACTTACTGTTTTGATTTAGGGCCAAGTAAAGCATTGTTTCTTGTTGGGCGATTGACATTCTCAGAATCCTGCTTCCAGTAAACACACGCTTAGCACACACACGCGCGTGCGGCAGCACACATGCACACCAACCCGACACACACACACACACAGGCAGCCACGCGCGTACACACGCCACGACGCCACGGGCGCACGACGCATATGCACACAGCGGTACGCACACGGTACACACACACTTGCAATGCAGCAGAGCGTCCCCAGTTGCGGTAATCATGCGTGTACGTGTCGCAAGATGCTATGTGTGAGATCGGATGTTTTCCGAACGCGTCAGCCTAGGCGCGCTCTCGTTCGCGGAACGGTCGCGTAGCACGGCCTTATTTTTATTGGTGGCCAGGCGGGCCACCAACCCGACAGTTTCAGGTGGCCCGACGCCGTTTCAGGTGGCTATTGGCACCCGGGCCACCGTTAAAGTCGAGCCCTGTTTAGGCATTAGATGAAGACAAGTTTTTCTGTATTTATAGTTGTTGGGGTAGAGTAACACTAATCAATGGGCATATACAGCAGTATATAGCCTAGGGAACTAGTTATGGGTTTAGGAATAGGAATTAGCATTATCTTTCTGTTGGAGTTTTCAGTCACATAGTTATATTTTACCCTATAACCAGATGGAGAGATGGCGTAAAACAACTGATGAACTGCCTGATAGTGCAGCAACCTGACGAATGCAAATAATCTGTAATTCCATAAATTTTAGATTAAAAATATCCCTATTTTATAATATTTGATTTGTTATTTATTTAAACTTTACATGGTAGCACTGCAGTCTAGCTTTTTTTTATAAGTTATACTCTAGTTCACTATATCCACTGTCAATTTCACAACCCGAACAAGCAAACAACCAAACAGCAACTACTACTAACAGGAAGCAAGAAACTTGAAACGACAAGAATTACATTAACCCACCAGTGGTGGCATATGTTTGCCTTGTGTTGAAATTCACTATCAGTCAATTTCCAATTATGATCACACCGATCTGAGCGCAAATAGCATAAATTGTATTTGTTTTACTTTATTTGCCTCAAGAAACAGTGTAAACAAGAGCAATCGGAGATAGCAAACCTGCGCCACACCGTAACAGTCCCCCCATCTTGCTGGTACACCAAATATCATTAAGATAATGAGAACTCATTGTTGCTATCATGCACGGCACATATGATATCTTATACATATTTGTGAATGTGTCTCTGTTTGTTTGTTCTTGATGCAAATCAAGACAGAGCACTCTAGAAATGTCAAATACGTTCAGTAGGGGTACATTTTGGTGCTGAATATCATGGGCACCTGCAGCAGCAATAAATAAACAGGATTCACTTTGCACTGACTCGCATTACTGTACAATGCGCGTTACATTGCCGAAATCTCTCTTCCTCCACCGCATTCTCCCGTGCTCCCTCCATCCTCCACCAGCTCTCCCCTCCTCCACTACCTTCTCCCCTTCTCCTTCTCGATCGGCAGCCTTCTCCGATGCTCGCTTCTCCAACACTTCTCTTCTCGGACCTTCCTCTTCTCTGCACCAGCTTTCTCCCTTCTTGTGCGCGCTTCTTCATTCTGCGCACACCAGCTTCTCCGCGCCTCCTCCTTTTCCACGCAGCTCTCCTCCTCCTTTCTCCACCCACCTTTCCCTCTCCCTCTCCTTCTCCACCAGCTCTTCGCAGCCCTTCGCCTTCTCCAGCTACTTCTCCCCTCTCCTCTCCACCAGGGCAGCTTCGCCCTTGCTCCCTCTCCCCCTCCTCCACCAGCTCCCTTCTCCCCCATCGCTTCCGCTTTCCCCCTTTCTCCACAGCTTCCCCCCCCTCTTCCTACCCAGCTCTCCCCCCTCCTGTGCCACCACCTATCTCGGGCCTTGCTCGCAGCCTCCTCCTTCTCCACTCAGCTTCTCCCCTCCTTCCCCCACCATTTCTCTTCTCCCCCCTCCCCTTCTCTCACCAGTTTCTCAGCTTTCTCCCCCTGCCTTCTGCGGCAACACCTCTCACTTCCCTCTTTCCTTCTCTACCAGTTCTCCCCTCCGTAACCCACCACCCTATTCTCCTCTCCTTCCTCTCCTTCTCCAC